TAGCCAGGGTGCTACTTTAGATATATAAAGTGGCTACTTTAGATAAATCGCTACTTCAGATGCGACATATATACGTATAATTAGAATTATAATATGTATATGTTTAATTCTTAAATCCGGCGCGGCCCGGCCCGCTATAAAATTTAGGCATTAGATCCGGTCCAGCCGCGAAACAGACCGAGCAGCAGGACCAAACGCGGACTTCTAATCGCGAGATATGTATCTACTTTATTATAAAAATATACGCAACAATATAATAAATATAATATATAATATATAAGTACTTTAGCAATTATTTTATCACAGTTCAAACACCGGATTACCTAATCAAGATTGCTTTATATTGTACCCCAGATGCAAATATGTTATAGATATCAATCTTGCCTAAATGATAGATCTAAATAAATCAATTAAGGTTAAATATTTAGATAAAAATTGTTAAATAAGATCTGAGTTGCCACGATTGACATTTGGGCCAGATAGACATTTGGGGTACAAAACATATATCCTAACTAACGTCAGTTTCCACCATTTTGTGCCAATTTCGAATTAATAAACACAACTAAATCAGGTAACCATAACTATATCAGATGACTAATAATCATTAGGTCATGAAATTAAACATTCCTTAATAAGTCTAAATATTAATGATCACAAGTTACAGTGACAAAATTGACATACGTACTCAAAATTTGAAATCTTGTCACGTGTATATTTTATCTTTATAAAATTTATGTATACGTGGCGCCATTGATTAACACCCATGCCACGTGTATGATGTCACACTATTATGCACATAATCGGATATAACATTGGCACTGATCGTGATAATTACAACATGTTATTTTATTGGTGCATCGTTTTATGATCAATTAATCTGAAGAATGGTGATTCAACTATGATCCAATCACAACGATAATGACAAGCGCAAGTACAAAGAAATCTTGATTCAAATAAAAGAAAGTCGCATACTTTGAGATTAGTGGGAAAAAATTCAATTAGTTTGACAACCTGTGAAATATAAAAAACTCACCAATCAATAAAAAAAAAATTTTATGAAAGAGTTAATGATTAAAGGTTTTTTAAGATAGTAATTTCACTCGTCATCCTAAACATAAATTCATAAAGATCATCACATAAAACAAACCTAACAAACACGATTGGTCTTTGAATGCAGATTATAGTGTAATTTTTAAACCACTATCCTTGAGTTTGGGTTTATTAATTTTGCCAACAATTTTCTGCATTTCTTATTGGCCGCACTGTGATAATATACGTCACCTGAAAACCTTTGCGACCAATAGCAGAAAAGAGGTAAGTGAAGTCGAATTAGGAGATGCTTCAAGTTTGACTGCTGGCGTTTTGCAGTATTTTCCGTTAAGATTTCCCTTACCTCTTATTGCGTATGCATACTTACAAATGATAAATCCAAATAAGATGAAGTCTGCGTTCATTGTATACCGGTTTCATAGTTCGTTTGAGTCTCAGGAAAAACGAATTATTTGTTGATCTAAGAGGCCATGTGTTTTCACAAT